CAGGGAAAAAGGTCCTCGGGCATCTCCGGCTGGGGCAGAGGTCGCCTTGGCTTCCTCCTCAGGCTGGAAATGACGCCGCTTTGCTGGATCATCCCGCCCGGTGCCGGCCCCCGTGCGTGGGGTACGGAGCCGGGGCGTTGGGGGGGATTTCTTGCATTCCTGTAAAGGGGAAGGACGGCACCTTCTCCTTTGCAGAAAAGCCCAGTCAGCAAGATTTGGGCGAAACGAGCATCCGACAGCGGGGACCAAACCCTATATAAAGCAAGCCCTGCCAGCTGCAGGGCCCTGCAAGCAAGCGGTGGCTTTCCCAAGGTAAGCAGGGATGGAGAAATGCTTTTCCTGCCTTTCCTACTTTAACCAAAAGCACAGTGCAAGTGGGGAGCAAGGTCCATGCCCGGAAAGCAGGAGCAAAGGAGAGGCTACCTGAGATGCCAGCCCAGAGGCAGAGCAGCAGGCTGCAGCCCTCGAGGGCTGATCGTTCCTCCAACTTTTTTTCCTTTCCTTTCATTTTGCTTTTTCCCACCTCTCCGCCATCCGATTCCCATCGCTTCCCATCCCCGACACAGCAGCGCTTTGTGCTGAAGCGATGGGCACATCCTCACCCCCCCTCATCTCCCCTAGTCCCCGGAGGTGGGGAGCATCTCTGGCCCCAGACGAGAGGGGAAGTAAAAAAGAAAGTGGTTGATATAATGGGGAAATCACATGCATTTCTTTTCCTCTCCCAGGGCTGTCAAAAAGATGAACTCTCTCCTCACCTTCTCTGTGCTGTTTGCTTGGGGTAAGTGTCCTCGCTCGCACCAGTCCCACGGCTCTCCGTGCAGTTGCATCCATGGAAATTAGGACAAACTGGCGATTTCTTAATCTTTCCTCATGACCACCTCTCCAAAACACACAACAACTCTCCTGCACCGAGCCAGGGATGTTTCCTCTCCATTGCATCTACTAATTTTTAAGACATCACCAGCCCAGTACTGATCTGGGGGCTGGAGGGGCACGGGGATGCTGCTGGGCAGCCGGGTGTCGGTGAGAGCCCCACCGATTTTCCCCCACAGGCTTGTCCCCAGCCCACGGGAGCCTCTGGGACCTGCACAAGATGATCACGAAGGTGACGGGGAAAAACGCCTTGCTGCATTACTCTTCCTACGGCTGCTACTGCGGCTGGGGGGGCAAAGGACAGCCCAAGGACGCCACGGACAGGTAAGCGCCCACTTAAAAATCTCCCTGCCCAAACACATCCTTGCATGGTTTCAAATGTGGGGGGTCAGGGGGAGAAAAAACCCAACCCCAACCCTCCATCTCCCATCCAGATGCTGCCAGGTGCACGATACCTGCTACGACAGCCTCCGGAGCTACCGCTGCAATGCCAAGATGCGGGGCTACCACTACAGCTGGCACAGCGGCAGCCCCTCCTGCAGTAAGTAGGACCCTGGCAAAGGGGGTGCCACCCCCTGCCCCCCAAGCCAGGGCTGACCCTGGGCTCCCCTCTGCCTGCAGGCAAGGGCTCCTGGTGCTCCCAGCTCTCCTGCGAGTGCGACCGCAGCCTGGCGCTTTGCCTGAAACAAAGCATCAGGAGCTACAGCAAGCGCTACTACTTCTACCCCAAGCACCGGTGCCGGTGATGGGAGCCAGGATGCGGGGCCGGAGGACGCGTGTTGGTTCCGCATCTGGATCAACCTACGTCCCTGCCTGCACGGACCACGTTAGTGCTGCTGTAAATCTAATTGATGTGAAAATAAACAATGTGCTTAAACCACCCTGGTCGTCTGTGAGCTGCTGCTGGGCAGAGAGAGAAATCCCCGTAAATACTCAACGTCATCCTCCCCAAACTTTGCAAAAACTCGATCTCGGCCCCTGCGTCACTCCGGGCTGCAGCCCACAGGGAGAGGGGGGGGTTTGGCCAGGGAGGGAAAGGGCGTAGCGTAAAGCATTTTTGGGACAGAGGAGTTATTTCAGCGCTTCCTGCTCAGAGCCCGCGGGCTGGACACGGAGGGCAGCGCTCTTCCCAGGAGGACGGGCTGGCAGCGAGGAATCGGAGCTGGAGCAATCCCCTGGTGAGCGACTCCCACCCTCAGCCCGCTGCTGCGATGGGGTGGTTGCGTCGCTGCTGCAGAAGCAAAAATACAGGGGGGGATGCTGGGAGGCACACTGCTTTATGCTTTTTTCCATGCCTGTAGATAAAGCGTCATTGCTTTTCAGATAAAAACTCAGCTGGGAAGTTGCAGCCCCAGGGGATAGGTGCGCTGCTGCTGCAAAGTGATGCCCTGGGTGCCAAAAGCGGTGGGCTGGGAGGTGGGAGATATTCGGGAGGTGGGACCACTTCAGGAAGCCTTTGCTTTCGGCCAAGAGGCAGCAACGCAGACGCAAGGGAGCACGGCTGCCTTCCTCCCTCCAAATTTTGGTGGGGATTTGACCTGAATTTCAGAGGGACAATCTTTGCAAGGCAGCACCTGTCGACTGGCCACGCTGCCTGGCTGAGTCTGTTCTCCATTTTTCCTCCCAGGCCCGGGTGAGAGGAAGATGAAGGTCCTGCTGACGCTGGCGGTGCTGCTTGCCTGCAGTAAGCGCAGCCATTCCCCGACCCACAGATGGGAGCCAGGCTGCAGCCCTGCACCGATGCGGGCAGCATCCCTAAACCCCCGTGCAGTCCCTGGACAAAGCCCTCCTCTCCCCTCTGGCTCCCCAGGCCTCGTTTCTGCATATAACTTGCAAAAATCACATTTTCCTGTCACTCCAGGTGTGCTCACGGCTCGTGGGAAGCTCCCGCGCATGTTCACACCGGGACTCGAGGGAAGCACCGTAGGAAATCTGACGGCTCACGGTTGCTTCTCAGGATGGGGCAGCAGCGGCACGTCGAAGGCTTCAATGGACCGGTACAGGCAGCGCTGCCCGGGATGGCTAACGCTGGTCCCAGCATGGCTAACACTGGCCCCGGGGTAACCCTGGGGCTTGTAAGCAACCCCAGCAGCATCCTCTGAAGCTTTGCAAAATGCAGACCAGGCGATGGGCAGCAGCAGAAAGGGAACAGGTTTGAGGGCAGGGGGGAAAGCAAGGCAGCGTCCACCCCTAATTCCAGCCCAGTAGTGAGTAGGGTCGTGCCAGTGACCACCGGCTGAAGTCAGCGGGATGGCACCAGAGGATGGGGACAGCCCCGAAGCCAGGGTGCACAAGGGCCCTGGGAGCTGGGCAGGGGTTACACAGGGAAGCAGAGAAGAGGCTTGGCATGGGAACGGGCTGGAAAGAGCAGCTTCTGGGTGATTTAGAGCAGGAGGAGGATGCAAACGCTGGTGGCTCTTCCCACCCAGCTTGCGGAGCCTGTTTCAGGTAGGTTAGAAGCAGCCGGTGCCACTTCTCGGATGAGGCCAGGCTCTCCTTCTCACCGCAGGTGCTGCCTGCTCCGCGCCTGCTGCTATGCCCGGCTGGCTGCACGCCGGTGCCGCGTGGGACCGATCCAGCCCCTCTCAAGGCCCTGGGCCAGAATCCCCACCTGCCGTGAGTCCCTGCAGTTGCGGTTCGGGTTGCCTCTTTCCAGACCACCTCCCTCCTTTGCGGTGCCCTTTTTCAGGGCAGCACCCCAGGGATCTTCCCAAAGAGAAGGTCTCAGAAGTGCTTTCTCTCTGGTCCCCGCAGGCTCCGGGACCTGGTGCCAGAGAGGTGCCTGCAGATGCGAGCGGGCAGCCTTGCTCTGCCGGATGCGCAGCCAGAGGCTGCCCCGGCGTCGCAGCAAGTGCCGGGGACCAGCTGGGCGGTGCTGAAGCAAAAGGGCTTCTTACAAAACCACCTCCAAGCTGGTCAGAAAAGGGACGCAGCAGCGTTTCCCAACCCCAGCGGGTCTCCTCCTCGGGGCTTTGGGGCTTTGACACGAGGACAACAACCCTCTCGTGAAGTTGCGTCATTATACACTGGATCCGAGGAGGGAGAGCGGCGCAGATGCAACGTTTCAGTACAGAAAAACAAGGGAGGGGTGGACACCTGCGCCTTGTCCCTGCAAAGGGCGAGATGGAAACCAGCGCAAGCCTCTCCGCCGACGCTCACTTCCCCTTGGCTCGAGCTCCCCGTGCAGCCTGTCAGCTCCCTCTGCTTTTTGCTTTGCTGCAGATTCTCTTCTGTTGCTCCAAAATAAAACCAGAGAGCGCAAAACATCGGTCCTCGGTGTGACGTGACTCAGCCGAGCCCAGCAAACTGCCCCTCGCAGCCGGCGAGGAGAGGCTAACCTCTTAGCTAGGTTTCCCATTGAAATATCCAGAAAAAAATTAAAAACCACAGGCAAGCAGAAGAGTTGAGAGCCCGTTTCGAACGCCACCTCCAAAGCCTGGAAGTCAGTGAGTTAGCACCGAAAGCAGGGACCTCTTGTGTCCTGCGGCAACACTTCCAAATGACTTAGGAGCTCACCTCTGCCCAGGTCGTGCCTGGTTTCACCCACCGTGGCACAGCACGGGGAGATACACACTGCTGGCATAAAAAAGCCCCTTTGCACGTGTAAATTTTTAAGGTTAGGCCAGCAGCAGCTCAAAGGTCAATGCACAAATAATCAGAGTGTGGAGCAAGCGGCGGGTCAGGGAGGTGATTTATAATGCTACTGCCCCAGCCGCCTGCATTGCCCACCATCAGTCCCTCTTGCAGGGGAGGGCCAAGTCAGCCCATCCCACCTGAGGAGAGATGCATCTGCACCCCTGAACTGCTCCCCTGCTTAGCCCCGAGCCTTCAGGCTCTGAAAATTTGCAATTGCCCTGAGACAGAGCAATCAAAGCTGGTGCAAAGGGCTGCGGGCAGGCGCGATGCTGCGGGAGGGCCGGGCGCTGGCAACTTTTGCTGTGATGGGGTGGTCGGGAGCTGCTCTTGCCTCACATCCAGCGCAGAGCAAAACAGATTTCTCACCAGAAAAGAATGTTTTGGCCCAATTCTGCAACAACCCCGAGCACATCCCCTAGGAAAAGGCGGTTCAGGCTGTGGCTGCTTCCCCACCACCGCCGTAGCATCCCCCCGGCGCAGGGTTTTTTCCCTGCAGAACA